CTTCACGGAGAAATGGAACACCGACAACACCCTGGGGACAGAGATCACCCTAGAAGACCAGGTTAGTGATGGTGTACGCGGCCAAGAAAATGTCACATTAAAAATATGATTTGTGTCGCTGTTGACCACGGTATTTGTGGATTCTACAAGCAACACAAAAGGTGTACCGGTTGTTTTAGACTAGATGTGGAGACGTCTCATGTCCAACTTCAAAATCGAATTTCTTTACTCACGTCCCATTTCTGTATTCACAAGGTCTGTTACTCAGGTTATGGATGTATTGCTATTTGCCTGTTTGCAAAATCCTTGTCCTTTTCCACAGTTGGCTAAGGGGCTGAAGATGACATTTGATTCCTCTTTCTCACCAAACACCGGGTAAGGAACATTAAATGAGGGCCCTGAAAATGTAGTTTGGTTCTAACCACTTGCTATAATTAGTAATATGATCTGCGACAGTTGGGAAATCATAAAGGCCACATTTCATAGATCACTAGTGCAGTAATACTCCATTCTCTCCCTTACGTCCTGCCAGCAAGAAGAGCGGCAAAATCAAGACAGGCTACAAGTGCGACCACGTTAACCTTGGCTGTGACGTCAACTATGACATTAATGGTACAGCCATCCACGGTGCAGCAGTGGTCGGCTATGAGGGCTGGCTGGCCGGCTACCAGATTACCTTCGAGGCGGGCAGGAACAGGATCACCCAGAGCAACTTCGCAGTTGGATACAAGACTGATGAATTCCAGCTCCACACAAATGTGTAAGATAACATGAAGCAGCCGAATGATTAAGTTCTTTTACCACAAGATGTAGTTCCAGTGTACTTTTGAATCTATAAGCACTTAGTTACACCCTGAATGCATTATAGATGCATAAAGGTTTTTTTCATTTATACATTTTCACATTCTGATGTTAAGTTAATGTTTCTGTCTTGTGGTAAAAAATAAATCCAGACAATGAACCTTGACTAGACTGCAGCCTTCACACTATGTTATCATTGCTCCATGTTACCAGCTGAGACCAAAGGCTTCATGTAAGTAGGTAGCCTATTTGTACGTCCCATTCTTGTGGATATGATATTTGATATTTGGAAGTGAAATCACAGCTTTTTCAGGTTAATGTGGCACAACCTTACTCATGCACTCGGGGACAGATTTAAATTTAGTGGTCAAGGTGACTAAAACAACACTTTTCTATCCATTATTGAATGCCATAATTCCGGCAGGGAAAGGGAAGAATGGGACAAAAAGTTGACTGGTAGGCGGAGGCGTACATCACCAAACAGCCATTCTACCCCTTTCTTTGTCTGGCCGACTAAGTTGTTGCCCGCTTGGCTGTCTGCTGTTCACCCAGGTTATTTTTACACCCAGGTGATGGGATTTGCTCTGTTGCTAGTGAGATGAAGTGAGTAGTTGGCAGACATGAAGGGCCTGAGTCAAAAGGCAAAGTGAGGTAATGCCAGACAGTGAATGAGAAAGAGGGACAGTCTTAGTCTTGTTTCTTGCTATGGACACAGCGAGAAACAAGACTAAGTCTGCACACGTCTTTCTGTTTTGTCCACAGCTGCAGTGGTGACGTGAGGTCACATGAAGTATAACATAGGCTTTGTACTAGTGCTCTCAACTATGGAGGTCTGTTAAAGACATGCACAATACTAATAAATTCAACTATACTCTGTGTAGCAAATGTGTAACCACTATTTGTCCACCTGAGAGGACAACATCACCTTAATCACATTAACATTCTGTTGTTGTTTTTCCTCAGAAATGATGGCACTGAGTTTGGTGGCTCCATCTACCAGAAGGTGAACGACCAGCTGGAGACGGCCGTCAACCTGGCCTGGACTGCTGGAAACAGCAACACCCGCTTTGGCATCGCCGCCAAGTATCAGATTGATCCTGATGCATCCTTCTCTGTGAGTAGTGTTTTTAAACCCAAGTAGTGACTTAAGTTGTGGTGTAGCCTGACTCTTAAATCAGCCCGTAAAAAGACAGCTTGATGTCATGCTCACTCAGGTGTCACACAGTGCATAAGCCAATGAAACCGGCTCCTTCCTGTTTTTGTTTTGACCTTTTTAGCTGTTCAGGGTTTTTTTTCTTGTTTTCGAGACACAGTCTGGGAATCATCTGTACAAAAAACGTTTCACTCAGGCTGGTCTTGTTGCCCTATTTAAATCTGGGTCACTGTCTTTGCTGCGTGTCCTGCTGAGAAAACCAACTAGGCATGATGGACATGAGTCTGAGAGCAGCCTCATGGGAGGAGTCTGTCTGCCAGAGTAAAGGCTTTTTAAGTCCTGTCTGCCACATTAGTCCTTAAACCCCACTTGCACCAGAGCCAATTAGTGTGAATGGCTGTTGTCAGTGTCATTTCATAAAAAAACATTATCAGCATGTTAAATCACGTTACCTATATATAAATCTGAAGTGAAAGTGTTAGTGGTGACTTTTGAATCACTGTATCAGTTTCAGTTTCACATAAATCACAGCTAAGTTTTTGTTGACATAAAGCTGGGATCAGGCATTGAATTAGATACGATGTAATAATGTAATATATTAGTAATACAAGTTTTTCTTCGTATGATTTTTTTTTTTTTTCCTCCATGGTTCTCACACAGGCGAAGGTGAACAACTCCAGCCTCGTGGGCCTGGGCTACACTCAGACTCTGAAGCCAGGTGAGTGCAGACTGTATGTAGCTTGTCATGTGCATAGATGGTCCAACATACTGAATATTTACAAAGACAGTATTTCAACATTTGCTAAGGACTTGAGACAATGTTAAAAACAAAAATAGCATTTAGGTCAGGATTTAAAAAAATGTTATACACTCACAAGCTGAGCAGTAGAATTTAGATGTGAACCATGTTGATTATATCAAGTTCAATAATCAAAGTGAATTGTAGACATACAAAGTCTGGATCAAATTAGTGCTTTGCAGTGGTTTTAATGGAAGTTTGAAAGTATTTATACATTTAATCACAATTTCCTTGTCTGTGCATGATTTATCCTGATGTGTGTTCCTGCAGGCATCAAGCTGACACTCTCTGCTCTCCTCGACGGCAAGAACATCAACGCCGGCGGCCACAAGCTTGGTCTCGGCCTCGAGTTCCAAGCGTAGGAGGATGAGGCTGATGCCATTCCAGTCCTCCGAACACACGCATTCCCTAAAAAAATTCCAAATCTGTTTTGATTAGTAAGCCCTCACAAAATCCCAGATTCCCCTAGACTTGTTACAGCTGGAAGCCAGACATCTTAAAGGTTAAATCGTTCCTGCAACGATCTACCACAGTTAAAGGACCACTTTAAGGGAACAGTATATTTTGACCATAAAGAGCCCAGTTCAGAACAAAACTACAAGCGTTTATCTTGAATTGTGTAGCTTGCAACGGAAAAGTAGCCTGGAGTACACCTATGTTGGCCTCACTCTTTGTCATCTCACTACATTCATACACAATGTTTAATTTGTGTGTCTCTATCTTCATTTCTTATGCAGATAAAAGGGAAGATCAGAACTAGGTCAGCCCTAAATGCAGCTGGGTTTGACACCTTTAACATACAGTTAAGTAGTTAGACCACCAGATGGTGCTGTTACATAGCGCCAGTAAGCACTCCCCACTCAACAGGTGTTGTAGTGAAATACTTTAATTTTATCACTATTGCACTGGAGAGCTCTTGTATTTGTCTGGACACATTATACAATGGGAAGCGTTAGTTGTCCCTGATGCAACCGGCTGTCAGTAGCTCAAAGAGACACTACACCCCAGTGTGTATGTCCTGTGTTTTCGTCTCACTTGTCTTTTGTGTCAGTGCTTTTGGTGTGATTCATGTCTTTTGTTACATATAGTAAAAAGAATATTATTTTATTGACAGTCTTGCAGAGTTAAATCTAAATATTAAGTCTTGCTAAGGCAAAGATCGGTTGGATCCTAATAGTGGTGAAAATTAAAGGAAATGTATCGTGCACACAGTTGAAACTCTCTGGATAAGTTCATTCTGAGGAAGAGAAAGGACAAATATATTGGACAGGCAATGGTAGTCTTCCACATCTGGTCATGGGAATCATGCTTGGTGTACTTGACAGTATTGTCATTCCCTGAAATAATAAATATGAAGAACAGACTGGACCAGTTTCTGATTGTATATGTTCCTGTGTCTTTCGTCAGATAAAAACCTGTAGTAATTATAACTTGTATCTCTCTACAGCTAAACCTACCAGATATATTTGTTACTGATAATCTTAATCAGTCTTTTCTGTAAATCATTGTGTCCATACAATAATATATTTGGATGATGAAAACACAAATAGAGGAAAAAAAGGCAACTATGAAAGTTATAACAGAATGAGTCAGTCTTCACATCTAATTTACAGTATTGATTGATTAATTGATTTTTATTCACAGATTAGCAGACAAAAAGACAAACAAAATCCATAGAATAACACGTTAAACACGGTCCTCAGATGTCAAGACAGAAACATTAACTAGAACTAATCTTAAAATCCTAGAAGAAGACGAAAAACTCATCAAGGTTGCCAGATGTGGATTTATCGGGTGGAAGATGTTGGAGAAATCACTTTTTCGTAAGGAACAGAACAACGAAGAAAAAAGAAAGATGTCTTCCGTCTTCGTTACTTCAACTTAACTCAAAAATTCTGACGAGACTGCTGGAGACACATGCTACCAAGTGGACCAACCACAGCTCTTGCGGTCTCGCCTCGAAGCGTAGCCACATGTTTTGGGGCTGTGGCGTAGCTTCAACGCAGGAAGAGGAATTTGGCTTAAAGGATCGTGGCATCACTTTTGCGACGCTGTCAAGTCGTCCATCTTTATTTACGGTCTATAACATAGACATATAGATGCATTACAAACAGGAACTGTGAGCACATTTTCCAAATAACAACAGCCTCATGAAAGTCTAGCTCTTGAAAATTAGAGATGGGAAACTTTATGTCCTTTAAGTGTTTTCAGTGTCCGGGTGAAGTCACTTCCTGTCCACTCTCTCTGCGTGTTGAGCCATGCTAAGCCACGCCCCTCCCCTCAGTCACTCACCAACATGGCGCACTTCAGGACGATGGGTCGCAGCAGCGGAACCGTCTGTGCTCTCTCTCTGGTGGTTTTACTGCAGCTGTTGTCCGGCCGGAGTCTGTCAGCTCCCGTAGAGACAGGTTTGTCCGACATGTTTGAATGATCTGAGATGAAGCGTGTTTTCGAACCACCGACCAGGAATACTAGTTAGCGAGCTAGCCACTAGCCAGCGTCGGAGAGCTAGCGTTGGTGTAGCTTGTTGGTTAGCACGCCAGGCTAACAAACACGGTGTCTCACAGTGAGCGGCCCGGAAGAAGTCATGAAATTGTACTTTTTCGCATCTTTCTACTTGTCTTTATCTAAGTGGTGTCAAACAAAGTATTTCCCTGGATTACTGACGAGTGTCACCACTCTGTTTTGTTTGGAAAAACACCCGTCGCTAGATTTGGACTTGATAACACGTCATTAACAAATGCATGTGTCTGTTTCAGATGTTGTTTCTTAAACTAATTCAATACAAGTTCGATCTGTGAGTTAAAACGTGTTTGAAATCACTGTGTGAAAACTACACTTGAGTCATAACATTTCGAATACAGGGCAAGATGTTGAATATCACTTGTACATTTGAAGGCCATCCAAGCGAAAGTAATATTAGTAGTAGTCGATGATAATGTAATAAAACTTAATGTATTTATAGCACTGCTCTACACAATGTTACAAGGCACAACGTTACATTAACATAATTAAATAGATTTGTATACGAATTATACAAACGCGTCAATAGGATTAGTCAGTGTTAAATCTTCCATCTCAAGAAAATCTTTTAGATTGAATTTAAAAGAAGTTAGAGAACCGTTTCTAAGTTAACTCATTTCAAATCTGTATACTTTTTCTTTAAACTCAGATTCACCTCATTATTTTAGATGTTATTTTGGCCAAAATTCTAAGAATCTTCATCTGCCTTTGTGTAAAACATATCGAGGTCAGTTTTCTACATATTATTGTGGAGTGATTTAGTGGAATGAAAATGTGCATTCATTGCATTCCTCTGTGTACTATACTCTTCCCTCTTTGTATTTGTTTCTGTTATACTAATATATGTCCAATTTCTCTTTAATTCTAATACAAAACCTTAAATGAGGGTTTTGGATGTTTTCTTCATGTTTTCTTTAACATTTCGTTTATATTTTTTGTATTTATGTTGTGTGAACTAAACTAAAGTTCAAAAGGAAGCAACCTCCATAATTTGGGGGCTTTGATAGATAAACTTTGATCACCTTTTGTTTCAAGGTGAGATATAATGATCACTGGGACCAGTTTAAAGTTTACGCTCTCTGAAGTCTACGGTGAACTTTGTGATCCCCCTCAGGCGACGCTTGAGTCGAACTGCAGTGATTTGAGGTGGTGAGATAGGGACTTTGTCCAGATGTTCTGGTCATATATCTCAGCTCTGAACTAACTCCTTGTCAGTCCAGTTGCCCCCAACGCTCATTAAAGAAAGCCCTTTAGACGTTAACCTGCAAGACGCCTCGGCCTCGCCTGTAAAATTGATGTCAGGGGCGTTGGACTTTGGCTGAGCAGTGTATGTAGGCCAAATCTGTGAAGGTAGAGTCAGCAGTGTTGATTTCTTCAGCTGTGTGCTTCTATTCTCTTCATATGAATGGATATCATGTTACCGTCTGTTAGGTTGCAGCATTGTGTTCCTTCGGGAAAATCCCTGTTGTATTTCCTCTTCATAATATGACACCACTCTCATTTTATTCACTCAAACATCTTATTTATGCAATATTATTTTCATAATAATGCACAAGGCACAAAAATTCATACAAACAAAAAAAGTCATTTCGAATAGACTATTTTCTGTAGAATTAGTAAATATTTTTTTGTTGCCTGGAATTACATCAGAAGTATTTTAAGCATTTAAAGTTACATGAACTGCTTACTGTCACACAACTCTTAATGTTTGTTCATGGGTCATGAAGTTGCAGTCGTCATGATACGGATGTCCATTTGGATTTTATGCTTGTGTGTTTTGTCATTGTTTGTACTGAGGGAGGATGGTCGCTTGATCAGCCACTAACCTGCTAAATATTTATTTTGCCTGAAGTACAAATATCATTTGCTGACTGTGGTTTATTCTAAGTTTATTTGCAGTAAGCTAGTGCTGAAATTGATTTTACAGATATCACAGGAGTCTAATCTGAATACAACTGACTCAAGAGCCAAAAGAGTGCAAGTTTTGAGAGGAGGAAGACTCCATCACTTCCAATGAGATGTTTGATTTCAGAACATATTACAAAAATGCTTTTTCATTAGTATTGTGACATTTGTCAGGTGTGATCCAGCTGTCTGGTCTCAAAACTCAGAATTCGCTGTACGCTGCTGCAAATCTCATGACTGTTACTGCCACAAAGATCTCCTGTTCACCGATGATTAATTATGCTGCCCATGCCCCATGAATATGAATAGTCCCTTTGTTCTCGTGTTCGTCTTGCTCTGCACTTCAAGTCCCTAGTGTTATCCTCCCGTCCTTAGCAACGCCTCCTGTCCCACAGGATGTAATAATGTTGACACACGGTTAAATGGAATCATTGATTCAGGAAAACTGGCCAGATTCACACAAATAACTTCAACTTTCATTTAGAGGTGCAACCAGAGACTGATTTGTGGACTTTTTAACTTTAAATATAAATTGTTTTATTATGAAAGTGATAACATTAGGTCAGTTAAAATGTAAACTTTATAAACAGGCTCAAAAAATGGAAAATCTGGCTAACACTTACGTTTATTCAAACCCCCTTTATAAAAGATCTTTCATGGAATGAAATATCTTGCAGTGAATTAAATCACGTGATATGGTGGGCTGACAGTATTATATGCAGTAACACATCACATTGTTTCTTAGAAGAAAACCCATCTCAAAACATAATATCTCATTGTTGGTTGTGGTCATGGGAGGAGGGCATGTTTTCACACAATCACACACAAACAAGCTGCTGTTTAATACAATTGCCCACTTGAAATTGCTGGAATGTTTACTGCTTAGCACAAGAGCATTTTAAGCTCATTTCCTGGTCGTAGGTGCTGGTGTGATCACAATGTGTTGTAAGTATCTGTTGTTAGAGTGGAAACTGCCTCATTAGCTGGAAAGTGTAGAGAATGAAGTTCCCCACTTTGATTGAAAATGAATATTTTCTTTAGTGTTCAAGCTTTTCAAGTTGATATGTTCAAGTGAAAGAAGTTGTATGTTGTCATCTGGTTTTAGTAAACTAATATATAATGTTCTCCTTACTTAACAGATCCCCCACTAAAGAATAAGCTGGAAATTGTATCTCAGGTTCCCATCATGATGAACGAGAACACAAGTCAGGGAGAGACTTTGCCGCTTGAACACAGCAACACAACTTTAGCAGAACCCAAAAATGCTACAGCAACTGTTGGCAAAGACTTGACACCAATTGAAACAGTGCCTAACCAAGTTGTCAGCACACCTAACAAAGATGACGCCACAGCTATAAAAGGTGAGAGCACACCTATCAAAGAGGACAACAAACCTGATGCTGACCCAACAACGCCTGAGATCAAATCGCATCAAATCTCCGTCATTGCTACATCTGCAGATAAACCTCAGCCACAACCCGACAGCACTGGGGACCAAAAAACAGATGCAGTTAAACCTGTCAGTGTTGAAGTGACAGATGAACTCGCTGTTTCTGAAACCATTCCAACCACTACTGCAGAAGTCATCACCACCTCAGTGATAACCCCCGAACCAACCAATCCTACAACTGAACCCGACCTGCTGCAGACCTCTGAGAAAGGACCAGAACCCCACACTTATTTAGGTGGTTACTCAGAGGAGGATGACGACGACGAAGATGGAGGAACCGACGGAGAGAGCGAGGACAACAACAGCAATAACAGTATGGACAACACCGACAACAAAGACAGTAAGGGCGGTGTCGATGAAAAAGACCAGGCTCAGAACACGCACCAGCAGTCAGGCAGGTTTGAGGTGACGCGTTACAAGGAAGTAGACAGCTACAACACGGAGGATGAGGACTCGCACTTCTTCTTCCATCTGGTCATCCTGGCCTTCCTGGTGGCCATCATCTACATCACCTATCACAACAAGAGGAAGGTGAGTGTTGGCATTGCCACCGCTGGCCAGCAAATTGGCTTCATGCACCACAGTGGCAGTTCAGGGGAATAGGAAACAACAATTATAGAGCGCATCACGTTCCTTATTACTCACGTGGTCTTTAAGTGAGAAAATACTCATAAAACATTAGAGCTGAGCTAAACGTAAGCATAAGGTTAAATGATGTGGACCTCGAGGCAGTGAAGCACATCATAGCTTTTCCATGTGATCAGACGGGAGCTGCTCTGTGAACTCAACCCGTCCATCGAGCTGATATCATGTAGGAACAGCTGAGAACCACTGGAGATTTCATCCTGGAAGTCAGGAGCTGGCACTGCACACTAAGATGTGTTTTTCATATTTTCAGATCTGAAATATTTCTCTTAAGTTTTCATTTTTCCTTGTTGCCACATGCAGCTTTATGTAAATATAAAAAACTCAAGATTCAGCCATGACACTGAAGTTTTTTCTTCCACACAAAATAAAAAAAATCTACCTCAGCACCGCATTCCTTAGGTATTAAACAAAGCTCCTGGTGGTTTGAACTATTTCATCCGTAGATCAATATCCTGGTGAAGAACATGCAGTCTGTATTTTTCACTTTCTGGAGGGGCAAGTTCTTTTTCTGTCTGTTCCTCTGAAGAGGAAGGTTTTATAATTTATAATAAAAAGTAAAGTTGGATCTTACAGCTGAAGTGTGGATTCCAATTATGTAGTCTTACAACTTTTCTGCTCGCCTGTTACCCAAGACATATTTTTACTTGATCAGCACCCACACATTAATTTGATTTCTATCTTATATTCTCTCTTCTTCTTTTCAGATCTTCCTCTTAGCTCAGAGTCGGCGCTGGAAGGACGGTCTGTGTTCCCGCAACAACGTGGAGTATCACCGCCTGGACCAGAACGTCAACGAGGCCATGCCGTCCCTTAAGATGACCCGAGACTACATTTTTTGATCCACGTTCTCAATGTCCGGACCTGCTCAGAGCCAGATGCCCGTCTTTCTTCCCGGCCGCTTGCATTGTCACAACGCTGTGCTTTGTCCTGGGGCTTGATAGATGCTTTCTCTTGCTTTCTGGGCCAGTCAGAGATAAGGAGGTGTTGTCGTCTTTTGGATAGAATTATGTGCAGGATTTTTTTGTTGTTGTAAGAGTTTTTTTAACTCTTCATTTATTATTCCTATACTTTTTCTAAATTGATAACGTGGGATTTTAATATATTTATCTTTATTTTTGTTTTTCAGCCTTATGGTCCCTCTACACCATATTTTCTTCTTCCATTTTGTCTTAATATAATTTAATAATCAAAATAAGAGTATGAAGATTTACATGCTAATGTAACTTTTAGGTCCTAATATAATGTGGGATTATAACAGTTAAATATTTTCCCCAAGATTGATTGATTGAAGATGTGAGTCAGTCAGTAGACAAGATAGGAAATGACTCAAAGACGTTTTCAAAGCACTTGTTGCATCAGGCATACTTTTATAAGGTGTACGTATGCAAAGCAAGCAGGTGCATACTGGAATTAAAGTAAAGGAAACATTGGGTAATTTGATTTAAAGACATGTAAAAATGAAATATTAGTGTTTCAAATGAATATAATTTTTTTAAACTTATAATTTCTGTTTACATTAAGTTCATGATAGCATTAAGCATCAAGTTAAGGACTCTTCCGGTGAGGGGTATTTTCACGTGATTAAGCCATTTAAAGAAGACAGATGCTGTATTTAGTTCAGGTTACCATTTACTGATCGTGTATAGGAGAAGCTTTTTTTATTACCAGACTTTTCCCCTCTTCATCGGTTTATATTTAACTTGTCTGATATGGTATCTCTTCTTCTTCTGCCCAGATTTTGCTGTGTAGAAATGCTGGGGCTGGCCCTCTTTGCTTTTTATGACTTCGGTGAAGTCTCCATCAACCATTCTTCATCATCTTTGTGGCAAAAAAGCGACTGTTGTTTTCCCTCCTGCTCACATAGTTACCTTCTGTCAAAGTACGGAGTTGGTGGACTGTTTTCATTCATCAGTTTGTTTTTTTGCACGCTCTGTGTGGCCTAATGTTCTCGAGCACCATTTTTGTCGTCGCGGTCTCTTGCCTTCAGTTAAATCGCTGTAACTGCCCCATGAATCCTCATATTTGTTATCAATCTTTTGTCGCCTTCTCTCAGTTGTTTCCATCTGTCTTGTCTGTAAACGAGGTATTCAGTGGGTAGATAGATAATGCGATTTGCACTGTGCCATCGTAGAATATGGACCGAGGGTGGGAGATGACAGATCTTGCAATCAACAGTAGAAACTGTGCAATCTTTTTTTGTCAATAAAGCACAAATTGTGTACAGAGTCTTTGTTTATCTTTCATATTTGTCCAGCCCAAGCGATAAATCTAACCTAATAATAAGAATCTAACATCCTTGTCCTCTGACAGATTGTTTGAGATCCAAAGTATTTAAGGTACAGAGGCTTCTGTAGTCCAGCTCTTTATGTGGAGAATGTTGAGATGAAGAGTTCTGGCATCACTACAGGAATCTGCCAAACATTCTCTCTGGCTGTGGCTCAGAGGTTGAGCCAAAAAAATGTTGAACCAGTTTAGATTTTAGAATGGACAGATTTCTATTTAACAAAACAAATATGCACTTCTCTAACTTGAATAGGATGAACTGAAATGAATAAGCTGCAGAGGCACGATGAGTTAAAGGATCATAACCTTTCCACTAATGTTGAGTTGAGCACTAGACGACTAAATGGTGTAGTTAGTGACTTCACCACAGGGAGGCAGTATGCACACACAAATAAGCAGATAATTCAAACCTGTGCGTTTTCCACCGTGTCCTTTAACAAACTGTGATTGTGGAGTTTCATTGTATTCTGAGCAAGAGACAACACAGCCAGGATGCACCTCCTGCACCAATAAAAATGCAATTTTCAAATTTGGCATTCCACTGCTTGTTCCTCTCACTGACACAAATAATGACAGCATAATAAAGGAGAGTTTGAGCTGAACAAACTCTGCAACTATTTAATATTTCTCTCACAGTGTGTGGTTGGAAGCATGCGGTATGTGCCGTGGTTATCCAGAGGGCAGAAAAACAAAGTCCCCCTATGTGTGTGTCTTATATTCAGAACACAACACCAGCGAGATGGATGTTCGACAGCAGATGGGATTTTTTAATACAAAAAGTGTATCACGCCACGTCTGTCGTCTAAATGTATTAAACAGCAGAGACTGACAACACAGATGGAGGCAGAGAGAGAGAGAGCGAGGCAGACTAAGTTATACATGCATATCTTTAACTGTCTAGTTTTGATTAATGGTTGTCACAGTCTGTTGTTTGAGCAGAATGTGTCCAAAAAAACTCTGGATTTATATCATGAAATACTGTCAAGACAGAGGCTGACACATTTAAACAATTTTAAACTGCAGCGCGACATAAATTAATTCATTCCAACAATGTTTATTCAGCTAGAAAGATTTTATCACCTAAAATGTATTAAAGCAACACTACGTGAGTTTTACTGAGCAACAGCGCCCCCCTGCAGCCACGCATGGTGATTCATTCTGTTGAGCAGAAGTGCGAGAGGTGTTCATGTGGAGAAAAGACAAAGCCTATCAAAGTCCCACTCACTGAACTGAAACACAGCCGAACGGGGGATATTACCCATGATTCCCGGCTTCCTGAACCAGAGGAGCTGCTGCTTCAACAAATAAACCAAACCCTGTGTAGAATTCTTCATATTTTGCTCTCAAACATAAAAGTTTCCTTCTTGAATATCAGAGATCAACGCTGTTTAAGACTTCTAAGTCTTTTTAACTGATCTCATTACTCTTGAACTTGCTGGGCCGGATTCTGACAATTTAAGCTGCGACTCACCAAAGTTACATAGAGAAGAACAGAAATTCAAGGTGATGAGTGGGAATGAAAGAGGAAACATTCTCCATACTCCAAGGTAAAAAATTACATTTTGTGTTGTATCAACACATTTGTGTAGAGGTGGATTATCTTTAAAAAGAAGTTTCGGGCTGATTTTTTTAAAGTGAGGAAAATCTTCAATGAAAGGAATTAAGATGTAGTCTGACCAAAGCCAAGAAGTCATAAGAAGCTCGATTGTATCCTTGGTTACATGTTACATTATATACTGTATATAAATGGATTTCATAGTTTAAGAATGATTGATTATCAAGATTTTGGATCATTCAATTACAACTTGATTCACATTACTTCACATTTTATTAAAATCTCAGTTTTTCCTTTTACAAAACTGACCTGTGCTACAAAGATGCTTCACAAGGAAATAAGATGTGTTTATGATCTGATTCCTTCAGAGCATTAGTAATCCTTATTCTGAGATCCCCACAAAAATATCCTTTACTTTTTGAAATATATGATTTTCTGAACCTGAACACATATAGTCTAAAGATTTCAATTTTTATGTAAAATCTATCTGAAAAAATAAATATACACTGAGGATGAATTTGGATGTGACACACAATTACTACATTTTTAAATGCTTGTACATGTTATCTGAGTTTCTACAGGGACAGAAACCTGTTTCAAATGTCACAGCGTTTATCCCCTTTACCCCCTTAAAATAATCTCAATGTCTGTTTTTGAAGAAAGTGAACTCCTACCTGCTTATTGACCAGAGGTCACACTGCATGAAAGCATCTGTCAGGCGGCATCAATGTAAAACCTGTGGATGAAAACACAGGAAGTGCTCGGCTGCCCGCGGCGTTGTCATAAGCAGATAAGATAACCGGGCTTTGTGGATATTTGTACAAAGTTCTATCTGAAAGACGGCAGCAAATGAAATCTACCAGCCAGAAAATCTCACCACTACTTCAGATTGCTGAGGGGTGAAAATCTTGATGATGGTTATCCAGTGGCTTTTGAAAAGGATTTTATAACTTTTATAAGAAATCTAATTCTCAAGAGAACAACATCCCTCAGTTGAGCTCGCTGAGAATAAAAAGCTGATTGGTCAAGACATGAATTAATGAAATGTTTTTATAAAATGCTGTCATTATAAGCGGATCATCTTTGATGGTATATCTTCGGCTGTTTAGTTAGAAATGGGTTTAATATGTTGTAATGAAATTCAGTCAAAAAATGTAACCTGTTCCAAATTAACCTTTAAATATTACAGTTGCATTCACTCATTTATTCTTAAAGTAATTTTGATGAATACACAATTGCTTAAAATATCAACTCCTTATCAGTGATCAAACAAAAATACAAAGAAATTAAACTTTTACCATACATGTGATATATATTCCAATTTATCAGAGGTGCAATATTTGCTGTTATTATTATAATTGTTTCCTCATGTTAAAGGAATTATTACCTCACCATGAGGTTACGTTTTCACCCGTTGTTTGTTTGATTTCCCGCAAAACTGCTTCTCAGATTTTCTGGAAACTTGGTGGAAGGATGGTTCATGGGCCAAAAAATAAAACCATGGTGTGAATTTGGACTAAAACATGGATCCAGGAATCTTTTGATGACTTTCTTCACATTGTGAGATGATGTTTTTAGCTGATCTCCCAGGGAAGAAGTCATAGATCTTGGTGAAAAAATATTTGGCACATTCAGTAAACTGATATCTATGAGTGTGTGAAAGTTGGTGCAGCTTGATTGAATTAACAGGGTCTGAGGTATGTGCTCTATTGAGGGCCATTCTAGTTTAAATGTAAAATACTTTCCCATAGGCTGCAACAAAACCTCAGACTTTGCTTTAATTAGTTACAGCAAAAAAATGTGTCAAGTCTTCTTCATTGTGACAGTAATGCAGGGAGGAACAAGAGGCAGGCAAATAAAGGCATCACCACACAATTCAATTATGGCTTCACCAGCAGCAGCTTTATGGTCAGAAAGTGTTCCTCTCCAGCAGAAACACAGATCACTATATTCCTCCCATGGTCAGATAAATAAACCAGCAAACGCACCAGTATGAACCATTATATATTGTGCAGGTTTCTGGGAATAATCTGCACAGCTGGAATGCTCTTTTGACGAATCCCTTTTTTTTTATGAAACTATCCATCAAGGACAATTCTGACAGATATTGACCGACTTGGCTTCTTCTTTAATAATTTCTGTATTTCAGTATTGGCTGGATTAGATTGGCCCGGTTCTTATATCCCCTGTTCCGAGGGTATCTGTTTTTATCACAAAAAAGACGTCGATATATTGAGCGGCAGGAGACCTGGAGGTGAAAGAGATAAAACAGCCGAGGTTAAGTTCGGAGCTTATCCAAGCACACGCCGTAGTGATCCGATCATGTGGTCGGGTCTCTTGGCTGCTGTACGCTGCTCCACGAAGGCTTTCAGCAGGTTTGCTCACCAGATACTCTGCCTAACAATCTGGTATAAGATAGTGTTTTACACACGGAGGTGAAAAAGGTATCAAAGTGTGAGACTTTCAGTTTTTGCACAGAATCTGGTCCAATGTAAGATACTGCGTCTTGTATCTAATAACAGGACGGAATCTAATGTTGTTTATGTTGTTTACTCTGGAAAATTACTTTTGGGGAAGGAAAGTAAATGAGTATCTATCTTCCATCATCAGCTCACACCATGATGCCCTTGACCCCCAACTGATCCCATTTCTGCAGCCATCAGTGTGGTTACAGTGCACAGCGACCAGCTGTGTGCAACTGTGTGTGTGTGTGTGTGTGTGTGTGTGTGTTATTATTGAAGCTTTCCACCAAATACTGTGTGTAATTTGATCTTTATTGCTTTTTCAAAAAAACCAAGAATAAATATATATAAACTGTATAAGTGAGGCTTCGGCTCAAATTTGGTTCAAGGTGCAAGACGAAAGTCTCCATGGGGCTAAAAGCTCCAGCATCACTTGTAGTAATGAAAGACTGACGGCTTCAGCCCCTCAGCTCTGAACTCGGTTGCTCTCATTATTACAAGTCTAGTGGGAGTTTTTATCTCACTGTATCCTGTGTAACAGGAGCCAGTGCAAAGTGTAGGTGCAACACATGACATAAGAGTCATGTTTCATATTGTAGTGAGCTGTGGGCTTCTTCTCTGCTACATGCTGCAGGCTTTCCACTGCCACAATACAGAGAGTGAGACTCTTCAGACGTGAGCTCCACAGAATTTACATTTTCCAGCGTTCACCTTTTACATATTTAGAACACAGAGGGAGATTGTCCGGGTTAGATGTGTTCACAACAACAGGAACATTCAGGTGAGGGGTGGAGCCTGAAGGAGGCCAGACATGATGTATAAATTCCGCTCCAGATTTTTGATTATTTGTTTACAGCACATCAACATTAATGTTTGCCCTCATCACCAAAAGCTCTTAAATTGTGTTGTCTTTCAAAGTTGACAAA